AGCCCCTCTCATACGCCTCAGTATCCGCAGCAAACAAGATGTAGAAGCCTCGTTTTGCAATATATCCGTCGGGACGCTCTAGCCTCGCAAAAAAGCAAAGAATTCACTCATACTGCCAAATACAATTCTGTCCAGCCTAGGAGTCCCTTACCTTTCACGTTTTGGGGCTGCTCATATGCAACATCCTTACGAACCACCATTTTTGGATATATTTCAATTATCGCATCATAAATGGACATGTCTACGGATGAAAGCGCGGCCTAGAATACAGAAACTTGCGTTATCGTTAGACGTGGAGCCAAGTTTCATGAATAAATAGCCAAAACCGTAAAAAAACATTAGAGGACATACCTGAAGGTCCACCCGTTTGTCATTCTCATAGTTCACATCAAGCACTTTTAAAGTAGAGGTTGCCAATGCTATAATTCGTTTCAGCATTAACGGAGTTGGTCCGTCACGAGTCCATCTGAAATACTGAAGCTTCTTCGGCTGCTGATGCAACTGGCCCCTCCTCGTCCCTCCCCCCCCCCCACTGGAGTCTGTGTCCACCGATTGTTGTCGCTTGACCATCAGCAATTGGTGCAGAACGGGCTGGCGCCGCGCCAAACCCGGACTCCTGGTATATCCCCCTCCATTGGAGCCTGTTTTCCACCAACTATTGTCGCTTGCCCTTCAACAACTTGTGGAGAACGAGCTGGCACCGCGCCAAACCCAGCCCCGCTGACACGCCCCGTCATCCGCAGCGAACAAAACCGTAAGAGGAATAGAAAAATGAATCACAACTCTACTCACTTAGATCCGACCGGGTCTTCATTGGTAATTATCACCATGGGTGGCAAAATTGGACGCATTTTGACAAAATTCGATTCGAGCTTCGCGATTTCTTCTTCTGAAGCAACATGAATAAATTTAATAAAAGCTTTCGATATATTTACCTATAACAAGTAAACCAAGCAACAAACCATTCCAGGCATTGTCAAAGTCGACGAAAAGTGGCCGAGCCGTCCAGTTGTGCCTTGCGATCAGTTGCAAAACTCGTCGGAAAGCTGACAGTGGTGTTCTTGAACAGAACATTTTTCATTCATAGTGTAGTGTACTAGTTGAAGAAATGAAGTTATTGCGCCTTTTGGCTGACAAGCTACGTGATTAAACAAACCGGGGCGGTGGAAGTACAGGATGTTCAAAAGCAGCCGCAACGATCATTTCCAGTGCCAAATCTGGTATGGCGTCCGTCATGAAATGAATCGAAATCCATCTGAAATCATTGAAAACCCTACCAACAACACCAAAGAGAGTAAAAAACTCAAAAATATCAATCGATTACACACTTTTTCATTATTTGCACAGTCTCCCCGTACGTGGCGTGTTTCGTTGCGAATGACTGAAGAGAAGCCTGCAGTAATGCTTCATGCACGTATCTGAAAAAAAAACAATACCGCCGACGCAGTTCGATAGGAGGGAGGGGCAACAAATAGTACTCAACGAAGCCTGTCACCTTATAGCGACCTGCAACCTCTTGTAAAAGTGTGGCTCACTTGAACCATTTGCAGCTTCACAAGGGCTCACAGGTCTCACCCAAAGGACACCTGTTAGCGGTGCGCGCATTTCGCGATCTCCCGATGCTCGGGGCACAAAACCACTGTGCTTTCTCACTGGTGCCGACGAAGAGGAGCGAACCAATGGATAGCTCTCTGTCTTCGCCCATACGATTATGGAATGTAAATCCAAGGCAAGCGCTTTGATCATGATCAGTGACCACTGGCTCCTTAATGTCCGCCCCTTGACCCATTTTCGGCGCTGTTCGGCTTGGGAGGGGCAGTGTGCTTTTCGCTGGTTCCTTTTTTTCTAGTTCATGTTAAGTGACAGGTTTCACTTGGCAAAACCTGTAAACCCTTGCGAAGTTGCGGAATGGTACAATGTGCAGTTATGGTTGCAAGAATTTACAACTTTTCACAAGAAGGCCTGCAGCCTTCGATTAGCACCATTTGTTGCCCCCCCAAGCCTAACTACACCACTATAATTTCCCAAATTGGTGCTTTATTCTCAACACCTTATAATGTGTAGTCTATCGATGTCAGTGTATTGGGTAAGGGCCAATGGGTGACATTAGGTCTGCCCATTTTCTACATAAATGTGCCCTCTAAGGTTAAGGTTGAAAGCGAAGGAGGGAGGGGGAGTCACTGGGCCATACACCGTCCCGGTCAAGAGAGAGCGCACAAAGTCATTGGCATCATCATGATCAAGCTAGCGAGACAGATCCTAGATTCTGTCCCTCTCCCCTAGCAAGCCCATTATAACCACCCTTCTTCGATTTCGGAACTGCATATCCGCTAGTTTGACCACCAGTTTATTTGGCGCTGTACGGGCTTACGGCTTGGGGAAAGGACATTTAGCTCATTTAGCATCTTCGCTAGCCTCTTTTCTAGTTCCAGTTGAATCACACGTTTCACCCTCACAAAAATGCATCTTATGATGTGTAAACGAAACTCGTGCTATTGCACTGCCTTACAGGCAGGGCACGTCATTGCGTTGTGATCATTTCCTGAGAAAAATACGACACCCCCCTCCAAAAGCGTCTTTACTGGGTACGACCACCCCCTGCTACATTGCCAAAACCGTGCCGTTTCGCAATCGTTTTCTTTGCTTCTTTGGCCGCGACGCTGTCAACAACAATCCCTCGCAAAACCATAAAATTAGGCGTGAGGGATACGGTAGCCAAAAAGCGCGCAAGGGGTGTAATTGCATCCATTCGCCCATGCGCTGCGTCCCTCTTGCATTACACGTCACCCACACGCGCGCTAAAACAAGCTTGCGTTATTTTTCGACCTCAAGCCAATTTCAAGCCAAACACTCAAAAGTACCCCTTTTTTGAACACCTATAACTTCGTTGAAAGTAAAACTCTCGGAGAAGGGGAAGTGGGAATGAGTAGAGCTAGGCTGGCTCTTGTTACCTGGATTTAACGATTTCTGAAACATTTCCTTTCTAGAAAGTTTCACCCTTGTGATCCTCTTGTGATCCTCTTGTGATCACGGGGGCCCAACCCCGAGTCGCCACGCTTTGGACATCCATGGCAAGCTTCATACACGGCCTTTCGAAAAAAAGAACTGTGCCGGACGCATGAAGCCTTCCACTTCTCCAGCACAACTTTCATTTTTCGATGGAGGCCGCTCTATTCGCAAAAAAATCTCTCCTGTGATCATCTCGATTGACGCTGCCCCACGACACTAAAAATCAACACCGCCGACGCCATAAAACCTCCGCTTGCTTTAAAGACTTTGGTATGCTTTTGAAACGCATGTTTTTGCCAAGAATATCGAGAAACAGTATTAGGCGCCAATTGGCATCACCTCTGTGATGCGCATGCCAATGCACAACGCTTTCACGCATAGCTATTTTGGAAAGGTGCAACTTCTACAAAGGGCTTCCCAGGTGCAAGTAGATGTGCTCCCGAGACAGAAAGGTCCGGAGGTGTATTTTCATCTGTTTATTTATTCATGGCGCGATATTTATTGCGGGGAGTGGGCTTAGGTCCCACTCGTGCGTGACCAATGGGCGAGCTTACCACTCGAGCCTGATGCCGGGTTGAAACCCGGCCTCGACGCCGCCCCAAGCCAGCTAAAGCCTTCAGCCCGTCCTTAGTGACAGTGAAATGCCGCGTACAAATTCGTCTGGAAGGATCGAAACACTGACCCGTACTACGGCTCTCCACCCGCCAAGCATGTTATAGGCCACTATGCGCTCATCAATACGCCACTACGATCCTAAATAAGAAGTAGAGTGCGTGCCCACGAAGAGGTCGATCAACGGCGGAGACTTCATGCTTCTTCTTTTTTTATTTATTCATGACGTCGTTGTGGGCGACCATCGTAGTTTCTGACATCGCCCATTCCCACTTCTGCGCTGGTATGTTGCTTCTGTCTTGTGTGGGTCTCTTCAAGGGCTTCAATCAGCTATGCGATAAATCATCCATCACTTGAAGCTAGAACGCACATTTCTTGGGGTATCGCTTGCACCCCTCACACCAAAAACAGTCCCCGGCGGCTTCAACGACCCCCTCAATCGCGGGCAAATGCGACCTCCTGGTGATGACCAAGCAACAGATGGCGTGCCTTGCTGTACCAAGAGTGTCACCGAGGTTACTCCACAGGAATGGCACTTCGCAAAGTTGGAATTTCGATAGGGAAAAATCAGCATAGATACCCCCTCCAAAGCGAAACTGCGGCCACTCTCTCTACGTTTAAGAAAGCCCCCGCGCTTCAAGTAGTAACACTGTTCGTCCTTTCTTCGCGGCAGGACTTCACCCCAAGCTAGATACTGCCACACTCCTCCCGACTCCTCATGCGAGCGAGGTCGATAGCCTAGAACCGCTCAAAGTTCTAGCTGTCTCTAACGCCTCCTCTCAGTTGGACTCGCCTCACCAGCTAAGCTTGCGGCTTCTGGCGAAAAAGCCGCCCTCAGTTTTGTTCCTTGTTGGGACGGCAGTCATTAATCGGAACTCATGTATTTTTTGCTGACCGCGCTCGTGCTCGTAAATAATTCTGCTCTCCTTCATCACATTTTATTCATTGGGAGCACGTACAGTCAACAGCAACCCATCTCGTAAGGTAAAACGCGTAAAAATCACGATGATGATGCAATTTCTGCTGGTACCAAAGCTCGACGCACTTCACTCACTAAAAATGCTCGCTACCGTAACCCTTAAGTTCGGACGCCGGCTTTTTAAATGTTTCCTTTTCTTTTCAAGAGTTTTTCCTCTATGTTTCTGTTGCTTTTGATATCCACTACTGGGAGATGTGACAAAGTGATTTGTGAGCCAGGGCTTGCACAGAGACCGCAGGGAGGTGTGACTGTCAGGGCGCGATTTTGTTTATGGTGTTCTTGAGGGCTCTTGTTTCTTTTTTCCTTCATTGAGGAATTACTTATCAGCTACTGTTTCATAATTGATCAGCAATTATCCTTGACACTTTTATCGCGGGAGCTGTCTTTAATTTCATTAATACTAAGTCACGTACTGCTTCTTCCATGCTGTGAGTCGTTGTCCTTCCGCACTCATTTCTATCTTGGTCGCGCCACTCGCTTTCACTTCAGCTACTCGCTGCTCCAGTAATTTCAGTACTTTGTCATGCACTAACACCAGTTTGAAAACAACGCCATCCTATGAAGAAAAGGAAATTATTTAGCTCTGCCGAGCATGTTCAATGTTAAAAAATAGCCAGACAGTAAAAAGAAAAGGTGAAACTTGGGCTCTCATGTAAGCTCTCACCTTCACAACGAAAAGTTGATCCACCGTCGGTACAGCTACCAAATTGTGTTTCGTTTTGAGGTATTTTCCAATCTGAAAGAGAAGCTTCGACGAAATGCTGGAAATTCTGGAGAACATTCCACTATAGGTAGTCCGCTGGCCTGCAGATAGTCTTGTTCACTGCCGATGATGGTGCGTGTCAGAGGAGGGAGGCAGGTTCGGCGTGGTTTCGGGCCGTTCTCCACCTGTTGTTGTCACTAATCCGCTTCAACAATTGGTGGAGAAGAGGTTGGCGCATCGCGAAACCCAACCCCCCTCCCCTTCTGACACACCCCAGCACCCGCAAGGTACAACTCTGAATGTGTGCGCAGAAAGTACAGAGGGAGAACTCGATAAAAAGTTCGATATAAAAGTTGAAAAAAACATCTGCACACTGGGCGTGGGAGCAGGGGTTAGTGTGTGCGCGCTGCGAAAGAGTTTGAGAAAACGCCTTCAGCCATACTGAGTCGCATCGAGGAAAACTGCAGTTCTCCAAGGAAAGCAAGCATTAAAAAACAGATCTACTGAATACACCCACCTCGATATAAAATGCAGCAGTAAGCTGCCGTACACCAGCAATCGTATCACCCCATTTTCCAGAGTATTCCAGCTTTATGTGCACTGAAAAAAGGAAAAATTGTATAAAAAAAGTAGAGACACATCACATTCAAAACAAAACTGACAGTGAGTAGAACAGCACTTCCGCAGTTAGGAGCGGCGCGACAACCGCTTTTTCAGGCTTATTCGAAGAGAGGAGGATTCTGTTCCCCAGTTGACAAGTCATAGAAGAGCGCTGAGAATCATAATTTGCGCGGTCTCGACAACGAGCTGACTTATTGTTGCTAGTGGTGCAGCAATATGACCCCCCCCCCCAACCACGGTGGAAAGTTCTGAGGTATTTCGAGATAATATGGCGCCGGCAGAGCACCAACCCGCTCACCCTCCCCCTCCCCAAAAAAAAACTTTCGCTTCTAGCGCGACCTCCTTCCCCATACCTACCATCTTCCAGAATCCTCCCAACATCTCAACTTTCCTCCGAGATGTCATCCGAATCCCTCCTTTTCTCCTCAAAAACAGCTTTGGAGAGGAGGGGGGGGGGTAGAGGTAGGGGTAAAGTGGAAATATCAAACGTGAATGTAAAACAGGAAAAGCCGTGAGAAACCAGGATCCGAAAACATTTTCACTAAGAAAATTATGACTCCGCTCTCCAGCGACCAATACGACCACCTCGCTGAAGATCCCCACCGTACAACGTGCCCTGACGCCAGTTAGAAAAGACTACGATTGCTTAACGAAGGTACTCGGCTAATTATGAGTTCACGTGAGGCGGATGCCCCTCCCTCATATCGTACCGGAACGAAGACACCATAACATATATACATTTGAAGCCGATGATCTCCATGAAAACTGACCGGTGACACATCCAGTGTAAGGTGGTACAGCACGTTGCGCCAATAGGCGATGTCCATCTTCCACTGGACCCTGATCAGTTTTGCACAGCACCTCAGCAGCGCAGGGCTGAAAATTTCAAACTCACAAAGCAACTTTTCGTGGAGCATCAATGAGTATGTCACGACGATGTATGTCAGTAAAATTTGCGAATTACAACCTCATATGTGACTGAAACTGTCGCCTATAACTTTGAAATCAATCCTTTCGGATATCAGTAGAACGAACAACAACAAAAAAGAAAGTAAGGTAAGGACGACGAGTGAAATAAGGGTGTTGCAGTGCAACAAGGGAGTAGTAATTCAGAGAAAGGCGCTTAGGCGTCCTTCGAAAAAGTGAAATAAGTGAAAAAAATTTATAATTTATCAAATACTCTTTGAAATTCCATAATCCTCACCTCTGTATCCCTCAGATACGGGCTGACTCCGTGAATGTTCGTGATCATAAGTGGGAGACCTTTCGCTGTTCTGAGAATTGCACTGAGACCAGCAAATGCTGTAGTGATCTTCGTGTTCACCTCTTTAGGAGAGGATAATCCGGATGGAAAGACGCTTCGCCATGAAATGCAGCCAGCTGGTAAACCAAAATGGCTGAAAAAAATAAAGGGGTGGCGGAAGTCATAAAGCACATCCAACTTTGAGGAACTCGAATCTTAGCACCATCTGCCGTAGGAGGGAGGACGAGGGAAGGGGAATCTTGCAAAATAGGAAATTTTTCACTTTTACGGAGTTTTTTTCTCGAAAATTCCCACCCTCTTCACTCAGAGAACTGCCGTTCCAGCAACCGGAAACTTTTTTCTCAAAAGCAAGTAAGATCCGCCTGACTGTAAATCGATGACGCAGTATGATCTGACTCGAATTTAAGGAATAAGGTAGCGGGAAAAGAAGCGGCAATGCGACCAGGCCTACTCTGCGTCATGTCAGCGGGAAAGTGCTCAATCGCCTCAACCCAGACGCTCAGTTCCAGAGTGCGTTACTCGAGCAAAGGCGCAGTAGTCTCAGCTCGCGCCATGCGAGGAAGGTGGCCCCGGCATAGTCTTGGTGCGCGCGCCTCCCAACCATCTAAGAGCAGTAATCGGAGAACTACCTTTAAAACACAATTATCATTTCAAACAGGGTTTCTGGAAAGACTATGAGCAGGGGAAAAACTAACTTGACAAGGATAAACTGGAGGATCGAATGAGGAACTCCTTCTGATGCTGCCTCCGCCCATACCATGCACTCACAAATTCGAGCATCGGCAAATTTTCTCAATTGCGTTTTTTCCTTCCACAAGGTTCGAAAATCTAAAAACAAGCTCGAAATCAGCATGGTAGCGTACGATCCAACTCCTCGAACACTGATCATAAGGAAGAAACCTCAAATACCTTTAGCGGATGGCTCTGTGGCCACAGGGCCAACAGTTATCGGATTCGTCCATTCCCTCTTCGTACGAAATCCAATCAAAAATGTGACGTTCTCCAGCTGAAATCATCCGCTCAGGGGGACAAGTACCAACAAAAGCAATGATTGAGCTATTTGGAGAACTGTTCACGAGAAACGCACCTTTTCGCCCTTTAAACGCTCCACGTAAACATTGTCAAAGCGTTCGCCCAGGCACTCGTGAACTCGCTGAAAAAAATGTAATCAAAAGTCCACACCTTGTGGACATGAAAGCTAAAAAGCCAACTCTTGTTTAAATTGAAGATTTTCGGTTAATCTCTCCAATAAACGAATGTCGAAATAGGCGAGGGTGGATCCTGAGATTAGGAGAGCTACCACGAGGATTCTGACTAATGGGCAAAAGAGTTGAATCCAGGACAGTCCAACGGGAACAAGTCACGGGAACGGGAACGCCCGTGGGCCCCCCCCCCCCTACCACGCAGTTTCTAGCAGCGAAAGTGGTACACACTTTGTGACAGTGGAAGGAATTCTCCTTCTCAGGAGGTCGGAAATAGAGTCTTCAAACCAAAGTGTGCCTGATATATCAAACACTTTCTTGGTTAGGGCTTGGTGGGGGCACTAAGGGGTACTTGAACAGGTTACCTTGTGAGGACCTGTAAAATCGTAACTGAAGGGGCTCACTTGTACTAATTTGGGGCTACCCAAGTGTCTACAGATATCACCGAAGACAAACCCGTTAGCTAACATGAACATGCAGAAAGAATCAACGAATGTACAAACTGCTTCCCTTCCCTCTTGCGCCTTCCCATCCTCCCCCCTCCAAGCCGAACAGCTCAGGTTTTTCTCGTCACTCGCCTTCATAAACCTCGCTACAAATCTTGCAAGGCGATCATCTTCATCAACTGTGTCGACAAGTAACTCAGACGTTTTGAAGAGCGATAAGAGATTTTCTGGCGTCAAGACCAGCCTATAATTATGACGTTAGCGAACTTGAGACGATTACCAGTTAAACACCACACGATCTCACCTAAAGTAGTGGTCAAATGACGAAAACATATGATGTCGTTCCAGGAACAGCGTATCAAACGCCAGACACTCTCCTAAAACTGTCAGCGATCGGCTCAAGTCCGTCTTCACCTGAAAACTAAGAGTACTAGCCATACGTGTGGCTTAAACATTGTCGCATTAGGGCAGCTACACTTCGTGATACAAGCGGTTCGCTGGCTCGAGTCGCTAGAAACAACAGATTCTGCAGCTCTGTAATTAGCGGTGGAGCGCTTTCACAAGAATTTTCTTAGTTTACCGAAGTCTCCCTCGAAAGTGGTTCTCGCGCCATCGTTTATCAGAGAAACGTAGAATCGCTGAATCGCGCGAATCGCTCGCGTCGCGAACTATGAACGTTACCCGAAGAAAAGTGAAGCTAACCAGGACGAGCGATTCCTTAGAAATTCCACTAGATATATTCCAATATCCTGTGTGATCAAGGAATACTACAGGAAAACTCGCGAGATGTGCCGAAAGCACATCGTCTTCGAGATCATCGGGATGAAAACCAGTGGATAACGATGTATCCCAATTCACTGAAGCGAGAAAGTGCGTCATTATGAAATTCTTAGGAGTTTATTGTTCCTTGGGAGTTCGAACTCACCTATGGCAACAAAGAAATTCCGAAGCACAGTGAGCAGGTCCTGCTGCTTGACTACAACGTTATCCTCCATTAGTTTGGTCATAAAACATGCCAAAAACACGGGATCAAACTGAAATCACTGATAGCAAGAAGCAAGTACAGTCGTTATCACTAAAGTCAATTAGGCGTTGGCATGGGTGCATGGGTTTTGGCGCTGCGCCAGCCCAATTTTCGTCGAACGCTACGACTTCGGTTGTTCAGAGTGGCAGGAAAGGGGCTGGCTCCGCACCAAATCCACGCTCCACTGACACGCCCCGACTGACTTTGTGATAACGACTGCATATTTATTCGCAAATTCGAATATTCCAGTCAAGAAAGACCAACCGACCTCATGAAACCCTCGAGAAGAGAACCATCGATTAACGAGGGCAAGTGCTGCTGTTACAGTCTCCTTGTGACGAAGTTCTGCTGATACTCTTCGAATCACCGACGATTCAAGTATGGTACGCAAAATCCTTTGGTTATAGAACGGTGTAGCTTCTTTATCTGTAACAGTATTTTCGTACGCACATCTTACATATTTTTGACCCATTCTGTAAGAGTGCCACAGCCGGAATTAAGAAGGAAAAAGTTCCTTCGTC